GCTGTGAGCTGTAATGCCACGGCACTCTGCCCAGGGGGACAGCTTGAGGCTCTGTCTCAAAAAAAAAAAAAAAAAAAAAAAAAAAAAAAAAAAGATGTCCAGATTCCAATTCCTGGAACCTGGGAATGCATTACATGACAGGTGAACTTGCAGACATGAGTAAGTTAAGAACTTTGAGATGGGGTCAGTGCAGTGGTGGCTCACATCTGTAATCTCAGCACTTTGGGAGGCTGAAGTGGGAGGATTGCTTGAGGGCATGAGTTTGAGACCAGTCTAGCCAACACTTTCTCTACAAAAAATTTTAAAAATTAGCCAGCATGGTAGTACATGCCTGTAGTTTCAGCTGTTCAGCAGGCTGAGCCAGGAGTTCTCTTAAGCCCAAGATTTTTCGGTTTAGGACTGCATCGCTGCATTCCAGCCCAGGCATCAGAACAAACTGTGTCTCAAAAAAGAAAAAAAAAAAAAAAAAAAAGGCTTGGTGCCTGTAGCTTGGTGGCTAGAGCACCAGCCACATGTACCAGGGCTGGCTGGTGGGTCTGAACACAGCCCAGGCCTGACAAACAACAATGACAATTACAACAACAAAAAAATAGCTATGCATTGTGGCAGGTGCCTGTAGTCCCAGCTACTTGGGAGGCTGAGGCAAGAGAATCACTTAAGCTCAAGAGTTAGAGGTTGCTATGAGCTGTCTTGCTATAGCACTCTACCAAGGGCAACATAGTGAAACTCTGTCTCAAAAAACCCCCAGCAACAACAGAAAACAAAAAACAGAGGGAGATGAGGATATACAGAGGAGATGTTGGATTATCTGAGTCCCTAAAAGCAGAGAACTTTTACTGGTGGTGGTCAGAGATGTGATGGTAAAGAGGGGTCAGAGAGAAGGGATGTTGCTGGCTTTGAAGATGAAGATGGGGCCAAAAGCCAAGGAATGCAGGAAGCCTCTGGAACCTGGAAACACCAAGGAATTGGATTCTCTCCAGAGCATCCGGAAAGCGATACAGCCCTGCAGAGATCTTCATTTTAGTTTGTGAGACTCACATTGGACTTCTACAGAACTGTAACAAATTTACATTGTTTTAAGATACAATCGTGGTAATTTGTCATGATAGCAATAGGAAATGAACACATTTCCCACTGAAGCTTCCGCCAACCAATTTGTCTCCTATTTGTACCCTAGATACTATGTCAGCTCCCTCTCCTGAGCTCCTATTGGTATCTGCTCTTAGCATTTGCCCTTCCTCTGTGTTCCTAAGTAGATCAGGAGCTCCTTGGTGGCAGGGTCTTTGACTTATTTTCCTCTGGACTCCACGGTCAAGGAGTGGTCCACCAGGGTTTGCTTAAAGGGCCTGAGACATCCTTAAGGAAGACTGTCTGGTTCTTACTCCTAAGCTGCATCAGGACCAGTCACTGTGGAAGAACAGGAGGCAGCTCCATAGGAATTATTGGGGGAAGAGTCCCAAGATTGAGTTAAGTGAAAGCAGGAGGTTGAAGGATAAGTAGAATGTTTCCATTTGTGTGAAAAAGGGAAAAAACATTTGTATGATTTTTAGAAGAATTGACTGTCCTTGGAAAAATATGAAAAACAGGTATACGAATCCCCTCCACCCCCAGAACCATATATATATAACCATACCATATATACACATTACCTGTTTACACACACATACCACACACACAAATTAAAAATGTTGATTCTGGCTTGGCGTCTATAGCTCAACTGGCTAAGGCACCAGCCACGTACACCTAAGGTGGCCGGTTCGAATCCCCAGCCCGGACCCGCCAAACAACAATGACGGCTGCAACCAAAAAATAGCCGGGCGTTGTGGCGGGCGCCTGTGGTCCCAGCTACTTGGGAGGCTGAGGCAGGAGACTCGCTTGAGCCCAGGAGTTGGAGGTTGCTGTGAGCTGGAATGCCACGGCACTCTACCCAGGGGGACAGCTTGAGGCTCTGTATCAAAAAAAAAAAAAAATGTTGATTCTTGGACTGTATCACCAGAAAAATATCCAGGAAGTCAAGGGTAGAATGTAGGAATTCGTGACTAATGCACCATGCGCCAGCTCATTCCAAGCCAGGGACAGAATTTTCAGGAAGAGGGCAGAGCCAGATGCAAAAATAATTGGAAGCATAAATTCAAAACGTACTTTATCAGAAAAATAGTAGAAATCTCTTTAAGGGACTATGAAGCCAGGTTTGAGACCCCTCTGACCTCTGTATCTATGTGGGTAAGGGAAAAGACGGTGACTGGCCCAAAGCCACATCGCCAGCCAGTACCCTAAGCATGACATCGACTCAGCCCCATCTACCCTTGTGCAGAGATTTCTCCCTTAGAAGGTCTCACTGATCCAGAGGGCAGGACAGGAATATAGAGAAGAAAACACCATCTTTAATCAACCCATCTGCACAGAAACCAGGGAAGGGCTCCCCACTTTGCAAGATCCCAGTGAAAAGAGAATCTGGTCCCTTTGCAAAACAAATCTTATAAAAACAAAAGGTTTCAAAGCACCAGTGGCTACACCCGTTGAATAGAAAGGGGCCTTGGGGATTGGGAGTGAGAAATGAGGGCTGGAAACAGGAGCTGGCCCGGGGCAAAGTAGCAACCCATCCTGAAGGGAATTTCCCCCACTCTTCAGCTGTGCCCACCAGCTGTCTGGGCTGCCCATCTGGGACCTTGGGGCCAGAGGAACTTCTGGGGCTGGCTGCTTGGCACAGGACTAAAGATGGGATGGTGTGGTAGGGTTGCCAGCCTAGCTCAGGATATTTTGGCCTTGGAGAGTAGGGAATGCTAGATAGGAAGGAGGTGGAGAGCAAGGAGCAGAGTGGTCATTATGGTGTGCAAACCATCTGCGCTTCCCTCGTGTTCCCTGTGCCTTCTGCCCTCCTTCCTGACCCAGGGCTGCTCCTGTTTCCCAGACTGGGAGTTGTCCTGCCTGTGGAATCGCCAGCTAGTGCACAGGATGCTGGTGTAGAGGAAGGTGAGGAGAAAGAGCTCTCACTTCTATTTGCCTCCAAGGAAGAGTGAGGGTGCTGGCTGTCCTGACATCCACCCCAATTATCCACACTCCCATCTTCCCCTTCAGAACTCCTCCTGGACTTGTTAGAGGTTGCTTCTGGATATTAAGTGGCCATAGACGATGGCGATCTGTAAACCCTGGTGTCTAGGCAGTGCTGACTAGCCCTTTTCCCCTCTGGGACCACAGGCTTGCCAAGTGGTGAAGTGGATGGAGCCATCAGGAGTTGGTGGAGTTGTTGAGGGAAGGTGATCATGGGTATAGCAGACCCAGTCTTAGGGACCTAGAAGGGAGTGGGGGGACTGAATTGTGGCCCCACTTTATTAGAGAGGGCGTGAAAGGTTTGCCAAGGTGGACAGAGGCTGAGTATAGGAAGTCTTCCCTGTTGATCATGCTGAATTCAGGGTTCTGGGTTCTGTCCATCTGGTTCCCAATAAGAGAACGAATGGGTATATTGCTTTAAGAAACGTGTTGGCAAGTAGTGGTGGTGGTGTGTGAGTGTGATGGGAACCATATAGGCTCCAGCGTGTCCAAGCTGGATGGAGGCTTGGAAATGGGACTCTGAAACTACAGAAGGTACACTGTGTTTAAGGTCCACCAAAAGCCTAGCTGGGTGGCCTCAAGCAAATCACTTCACATCTCTGGGCCTCAGTTTCCATATCTGCAAAATGGGAATGGGAATTATAATCCCAGTCTTTTTTTTTTGAGACAGTCTCACTCAGTTGCCTTGGGTTTGAGTGCTGTGGTGTCATAGCTCACAGCAACCTCAAAACTCTTGGGGGTTTAAGCGATTCTCTTGCCTCAGCATCCCAAGTAGCTGGGACTACAGGCACCCACCACAAGGCCCGGCTATTTTTTTAGAGATGGGTTCCTACTCTTGCTCAGGCTGGTCTTGAACTCCTGAGCCTCGGCCTCCCAGAGTGCTAGGATTACAGGTGTGAGCCACTGTGCCCATCCTATAATCCCAGTCTTGTCCAGGGAATTGAGTCAAACCAGAGGGCTAGAAGAGTCGACCTGCTAAGGGATTACTTTAATTATTTGATGTGGGGAAACTGAGGCCCAAAGAGGAGAAGGGCTTCTATAGATGGCACTCAGTCAGTGTGGAACTGGGAGGATTAGAACTCCTGCTTCTAGTTCACAGTAGCTTTGCCCAGGCTGGTGAGTGAGTGCTGTGAGATGCGGTGAGATTTTGCCCTGCTATTTCTCTCTGGACAGGGGCAGGACGCCCGGCCAAGGTGAAAGAGAGAGGCTGGAGAAGGTAGGAAGGCCCAGCGCACGCCAAGGCTGTCATAAAAAAAATACAAACCCCGCCCCCCCCCGCCATTCCCTCCCCCAACCCGCTCCTGAAGTCCCGGCTGAGGAAGGGCCAAGTCCAAGTCCACTTCGGCTGTAGACCCAGGAGGGGCCGGCACAGGCTGCAGTCTGTCCATGAGCCGCCAGAGGGCGCGCCCGCCTGCCCATCTTGGCTTGTGCTCGCTGCAGCCGCCGGCAGTCCAGAAGCCAAGGGTGCGGCGCCTGGCAGAAGCTACCCTGACCTGCAACAAAGAAAGACAGGTTAGGGGAGTGGCCCCGAAAGTATGGGGGCGCTGCCCTCCCCACTCCTGCTTTCCCCAACACTAATGACCCGTGCCTCTAGCCCCACCCAGCTCAGCGCCATGACCCACGTGTACAGAGGCTGCAGTTGTAAATGCGACGTCTTCTGGGGTGCCTGGTATCCGTAGGAGTCAAAGCCACCGATGAAGTCAACTGTGGGAGGGGAGGTGGTGCATGATTAGGAATGGGCTAGGGGAGCGGTGGGTCCTGAGAAGGAAGACTCCGAGGGCAGGGCCCCTAGAGCCGAGAAGTGAAGCCAGAGAAACCCTGGGCTGAGGAGGCTTAGACTCCACACAGAGCCTTAGGGCCGGGGCTCTGCGGCCGGATCCTGAGGGTGTCCGAGGGTCGCCAAGCCCTGGAGTTGAGTCAGCAGGGGATCAAATCCTTGATACTTGAGACGTGAGACTGGAGCCTAGGAGGCGGTCTCTTAAGAGAGAAAGCTCTTGGGGGTGGGGCTCAAGCAACTACAAAGGGAGCGGAGCGAGATGGGGAAAAGACGCTGAGTCCACGGCCTGGGGACCTGGACCTGGAGGTCTGACCCTTATTCCAGAATGGGCTGGCTCTGCAGACACCCATCCACCCAGCGGCCTCTTCTTCCCCTCAAGAATGGCCCCTTGGCCGACCTAGGCTCCCTCCCGCCAAGGCCTCTTCCGGGCCTCTGTCCAAGGTGCTGAAGACGAGAGGGTGGCGGGGGGGCCCCTGGGGGTGCCTTACTCACAGCTGTCCTCCTCCTCCAGGAACACTTTGCTCACGTAGCAGGCGAACACGAAGCCGAACAGCTAGGGGAGGGAGCGACACATCAGAGAGGGAAGAGAGGGAGTCTTTTCCCAGCCCCTGCTGCCTGGTGTTGCCCAACCTGACCGGTGAGTGTGAGCGTGGGGGGGGGGGAGGGGCCGTGCCAGGATTAAGGCACACCTATAATAACTTCAAGTTAAATCACTGTACCTTAAAACAAACACATTTGGTCCAATTCTTTTGGGAGTCTAACCTCAGACAGACAATGTTTTACCTCTTTAAGCCTGTTTTCCCAGAGAGAACTGGACAATACCTTAATGGCTTGTTAAGAGGAAAGAGGACTACGTGACCCTTAGGACAGGGCTGACCCTCCTGGAAATGGGAACTACTACTCTCTTGGAGACACTTTCTTTTTGCAGTTTTTGGGCCTGGGGCTGGGTTTGAACCCTCCACCTCCGGCAAATGGGGCTGGCACCCTACTCCTTTGAGCTATAGGCGCCGCCCTGGAGCCACTTTCTTATTCTCATAACTTCTTCCTTTCTCTGAATAAGGAGACAAACTTGGAGTGGGCAAATGACTTGTCCAAGGTCATACAGCAGGTGTGTTGGGTGTTTGAAACTAGGAAAAACTCATGGTTTGATGTCTCATCCTATTCGTTAAACCTGCTCACTACCTGCATGGGGCCTGGGGCAGGGGTGAAGGGTGGTACAAGATATGGAATCCAGACAGAAGCACATGTAGGTTGGAAGACCTAAGTGCATCCCCTCTTAGCGGGCCAATGAAAGGGTAGAGGTGGAAGTTTCACCTCTGGGAGTGTGTGTGAGGTGGGGGCACAGAAGGACTCACTGCCAGGAAGATCTGCAGGGCACTGCTGAGGGCTTCAATGTAGGGATAGTCAAGGAGGCAGCCAGTGACAGAGATGACATGGTGGTCCTCCAAGGCCAGGCGAGAGTTCAGAACAGGTGTCACCAGGCAGCCAGGCCCATTCTCCATCCACCAGGAGCGGTGCAGGGATGTGTTGAAAGTCATGATGAAGTCCCGGTCCTGGGGGCAGAGGGGCCTGGGATACTGAGCACGAGGCAGAGGGAGAGGGAGATGCTCCCCAGGCCCCAGGAGACTTTATAAAAGGCCTGCTTCACATCTGGTGCTTGTAACAGCCTCCTTTCCAGTTTGATGTGGGAATCTGTACAGCAAGTTCTCATTAAGCCAGTAGGTGGCACCTGCTGACCATGCAGGCCTCCCTCTTCCATCAGTGAGCTCAAAAAGGGCTGGCCTTGACCCACAGAAGCCCCAGAATTTCTGGCTGGAAGGGACATTAATAGTAACTGGTTCAATTTCCCAGCTGTTGGTGAAATCCCCAGTGCAGAATGCTTCACAGCCCATTCAGTCTCTCCACTGATCCCTGTCTCTGTGTGTGACCCTGGGCAAACCTCTTCTCTCTTTGGACCTTGGTCTTCCCACTTGTTAAATGAAGAAGAGGCTGACCTAGAACAGTTCTTATGCAGGTGTGCATCCATGTGTTCATCAGTCCATCCACTCAGTCAGATAAATACGTAATGCCTGGTCGCTACTTGCATGGGGCCTGGAGCAGGGGTGAAGATCAGAGGCCAAGCATGCAGAGCTATGATCTCTTTTCATCCCCTCAGCAACCACAAGAAATTGCAGTTGTTATTATCTCCACCTACTAGATGGGAAAACTGAAGCTCAGAGAGGATAAGCTACTCACCCAGGGTCACACAGTGAGGGAATATTAGAGCTGGGATTTGAATCTAGCAGGGTCAAACTACAAAAGCAGTGCTCTTAGTCACATATTTTTTTAACTTTTTTTTTTTTT